CAACGAAGGTGCCTCCACAGTGAACGCTTAAGGGGGGTGGAGTACGGAGAGGAGAGCGCCCCCCCCCGCCAGGGTACGCGTTAATAATAACGTAGCTGAATGTTATTATGTGCTCTTTGGATGCCGTGGAAAGCTGAATTATGCGTCGCCTGCAACCCTCAAAACGGAAGGCGTCGTAAAGAATAAACCTCAGCCAACCTCTTACAATCTGGCGCTTCCTTCCTGTTTGGGAGCTCAACTTGAAGCAGGGTTTTTGCTCAAAGCTGAGGACGTTGGAGCCGCAAGCCGCTTGCCCGCAGCTTCCCTGGGAGAGCCGCGCCGCCCAGCCAACATAAGTCCCACTTCAGGGAGACACTCGTTCCCCGTGGAAAAACGTTTAAGTTTCGCTTAAAGACCGGCGCACGAGTGTGTGTGTGTGTGTGTGTGTGTGTGTGTGTGTGTGCTGGAATTAAATAGCGTACTGTTTGAAACCCTTTTCCTGAATGAGATGGAGCTTCAAATGTGGTCGCATTATGTTTTTAATAACTACCCTTTAGTAAGCTAAATTATAAATCATTCTTTAGCTATCCTGCCTGTTTGCATCGATTACGAGTAGGCATGCCACAGCTGAATTTTTTATGTATTATAGTACAGAACACTTTAAAATTGCTGTACTACAGCCAAAACTGTGCCCATGACCCCAGGTTCAGTCCCAGGTAGCCAGCTCAAGGTTGACCCAGCCTTCTATCCTCCTCAAGTCGGTAAAATGAGTAGCCAGCTTGGGGGGTTGGGGGAGGCAATGTGTAGCCTGCATAATTAAATGGTAAACCACCCAGAGAGTTCTTTAAGCATTATGGGTGGTATATAAACAACACATTTTGATTTTGCTTTTTTGTTGTTGTTTAGTCGTTAAGTCGTGTCCGACTCTTCCTGACCCCATGGACCACAGCACGCCAGGCCCTCCTGTCTTCCACTGCCTCCCGGAGTTCGGTCAAATTCATGTCTGTAGCTTCAATGACACTGGCCAACCATCTCGTCCTCTGTCGTCCCCTTCTCCTCTTGCCTCCTCTTGTCTAGCTTTGTCATTGTCTTCCTCCCAAGAAGCAGGCATCTTTTAATTTCGTGGCAATTTGAATTGGAATTGCAGAGAGAGAGAATGGAGAGGGAGGAAAGATTGGAGAGAGAGAGAATGGCGTTTGAATTAAGAAAACTGGAACTGATGAACCAGAACAATAATAACAATAGGGATTCTGAGGGAGGCCAATTGTCTAAAGCTGACCTGAAGAAATTCCCTGTGTACCACAAGGGAGATTGTCCTGAGGTGTTCTTTTCCTTAGTGGAAAGAGCGTTTGTGGACTTCTCAGTGAGGGAAACTGAGAAGATGACCATCATGCGATCTTTAATCAGTGGCAGCCTTGCTGAAGTTTATTCAGAGATGCCACAGGAACTGATGAGAGATTTTGCAGAATTTAAAAAACTGGTG